GAATCTGATTACTTCACTACTTCAGTATGAATCCTATTACTTCACTACTGCAGTATGAATCCTATTACTTCACTACTTCAGTATGTATCTGATTACTTCACTACTGCAGTATGAATCTGTATATCTGTACATAAGAAAAAGCATAAGAACTACATTTCCCAGAGTTAAATGTGTCCTGTACGTGTTGTTTTATGTCTTGGATCGTATCCAAGGCAGCAGAGACACTGATTCCAGACAGGAGTCCAGATCCAGGAACAAAGCAGGTCCAACCTTCAGGCTCTTATCATTTCAGTTCAATTACAATCCAGATAACACACAATACACTTAAACGTCCAGAGCTCCTGGACTCCTGAATTTGTCTGATACTGCGGAACAAGACTTTACAAGCAAAACATGCCGAAGAGTCCAGTAGAACTGAAGAAATGTCTGCTGTTAGATAATTGTGCAGAATGAACTGGTGGTACCAATATGGTAGAGAGGAATAAAGTCATTATTTTATATACACGGTAACCTTTTGGTAATTTATTAACAGTAACTAACTAAACTTTGATAAACGCCTTAAAAATCCTCCTTTTAACCACACAGGTGAGAGCTTTCTTGACACTTACCGTCCAACAACACAGCCTTTCTCCTCAGTGCTTCTCCTGCTGGACTTGTGTCTGGCTCCCAGGACTTCAGGTGTGCCGAAAAAGACCGCAGATGAATATACTGCTATTCCAGATCTCCCTGCTTTGAGGACTTCATATCCTGGGCTAGCTGCGGTTGAAGACGGCGGAGAAGATGAAATCCGGACGCTGTGAATTCCCTCAAAAGCATCCATATCTCTTCTCTCAGGCAGTGCAGAGACTCATCACAAACTATGTCTTTTAATGCTTTTAGTGATATATGATGACCCCGATGGGTGTCAAGCACCTAAAATGCAGAAAAGCAAGAGTTAGATACTGCAACTTAATGATATGTAGCCACAGTGCAGACAGCAGAGTGAGACAGGGAGAGGGTTAGGTGAGGTTATGGGAACAGATTAGGAGAGCACATATACTTTTATTTTGAAATAAATCAACACAATACAAATCATCTTAGATTTACAGTCCAAGAGATAATAAGTAGAGCATTAGTTGTCGTTCTAATCACAACATTTACATGTTTTTGGAAGCTTTTATTCGCTGCTACTGGAAAATGCATAATAGTTGGTAGGTTTATGAGAAACTGACCAAACCAGAACGAAGTGGAGGAGCAGCCACTAATCACAGACTATTCCTTTAAATGTAAAGTCTTCAAAAGTTTCTTAAATATCACAATTGCACTTAAAAACATTCTGGTGGACTCACCTGGACCCCTCCAATGTCTTTATCATGGTTACTAAAATCACATAAAAACTAAACAAACCCTCACATTTAAAGTCTTTAAGTAGTCAGTGGACGAGCTTTGACTTCTACAGAGGTTAAACTATTAACTTTCACACTTGTTCCCTCTCTGAATACTGCACAGAAGCCTGACTCTTTTCTCTGCAGGCTGTCATACCAAAGGAATTTGTTTCTTTCAGATATCCAGTGTAAACACAACTTCAGCTAAAGTTAAGAAACAGTATCATGCAACTATCACACACATAGCAGACGTACACACACCAACAATACACAGAAAAAACTCACCGAAGTGTTTAAAACTGATCCCCAACTGTTGCCTGTGCATCAAAAATAAAAAAAAGAAAAAAAAAGAGCTGAAATTGTGCTTTGATAATCTGAAGATTGAGAGTTCAGCAGGTTGTCTGTACTTCGCCCTGCTGTGGGTCTCCTGGTTAGACAGGAAGGGTTAATCACTAACACCTTCTGGGCCGGAGCCCAGCTGTACACATTCCTTCCAGCAGAGGCCGGTGACACACAGTCTCACCTGATCAGGAGTTTTCCATGAGCAAACACTGACTGATGCTTCAAATGGAAAATACTCAAATCTGCCTTGTGAAGTTTACTGAATATCAGAGATGAGAATATGTTCAAAGGTGTGTCGGTGATTCAGCAAAATACAGAGAAATGTGTTCAACTTTGAAGAAAATTAGTGGATGAAGCTGGTTTCACAGAGTCATGTTTCCAAAACTCTGAACACAACAACTCAGCTCGCTCACGCCTTTAACCAACCTATTTGTGGCAGTGTGGGTGCTTCAGATTAACAGGACCCGGCCTCACAATGCAGCTTTGTTGCTGAAACAGATTAACACATCAAGTGACCGGAGGTGTAGGAGTCCCCTTGCTCTCTTTTTCTTTCCCTGCTTCCCTTTCTACAACATTCTCCACCACACATCTCGAGCCACGGCGGTGTAAGATGGCCAGGCGTTTTCACATTGTGTGGTAAGTAACTGCAACTTCACAGCCTTTGAGTTTCAGTCAGTAAAATTGACCTTTTGGGCCCCTCACATGTATGTATCAGCCTGTTGGAGCCCTGCAGATGTAGAGGTGTGTTTCTTTTTTAAATGATTGTTTAAGTGTGTAGGATCAACTAACTGCTGTTCTGTCTTGCTTTATCATTTCAGATATATGTGACCAAATTGGCCTTATGAGATCCACGTTGGTCGCTGACGCCGAGTTCAGACGAAGCACGGAGAACAACAACACCACCACACTGGTTTCCTTCATGTCACGTCACAGTCAACCAGCAAGTTGGCCAGCAAGCAGCAGCAATGACAGTAACGTACTCTCGCAGGGTTGCTGATGCGGGTCTGGGGACCTTCTTTAATCTGCTTCTGCGATGGAAGGGCAGCATCTATAAACTGCTCTACAGAGAGCTCATCATCTTCACTGTGCTCTACTACTTCTTCAGTATTGTTTACAGGTACTCTCTTAACACTGGAACTCTGTTAGTAATCGTCCTCCAGTCGGTGGAGAGAGGGATATTATCGGATAAAGATATTTATTTAGGATATTATTGAAGACTAAGAAGGACACACAGTTAAAGAACAAACGTCTCAGTGCTCTCTGGTGGATGAATTATGTAATAGAGAAACTGTTTCTAAGTGATCTCAAACATTTCTTTGGCATTTACACAGATACTGGATATCTTTGATAAGCAAGTATCGTCTGGGCCCCGATCAATTTATCAGCTCTATTGGTGACATTATTTATTTGTTTTTGCTCAACAAATGTAGGCAGATTTAGAGTTGGACTCTGGGGGCCACAGGAGGTCTTAGAGGGACCTTACATACTTTATTGACCTTTCCTTTTCTTTCTAAGAAGTCTTCCAATCAGGAGATAACTGTATAGACAAACTCTCCATCACTGTTTCAATACACCAAGTGCTGTTAACTGTACACATGATAAAGTAAAATTTACTTAAGGTGAATTCTTAAATGGGGGCCATTACAGTATTTATGGGTCTTCACATGAGAAAGTTCATGAACACAGGTTTAGTTAGTTACCTTCGTACAGCATCATATTGCTGCCACCATGACAGAAGAAACATTGTCTCATATAACAAGAAAATGTTCTCATTTTAATAATATTCTTCACGCTATAATAAGATATTTTTCATATTAAAGTAACTTTTATTAATATTTCAACATACCAAATTATTCTGTTTTATTAATTATTTTCTCATTTTAACAACATATGGAAGTTTGTTGTTTTAACAGCTGTGTTATTGGGGGCTGACACTGGGTGCCAGGGGGCCTCAAATGTGAGAAAATGTTTTACTAGTATCTAGCTAGTGCTAAGTCACAAAAATTAAAAAACATTTTCTTGTGCTGCACTATTGTCAATGGGTTTTTAATGATTTTTTGCCAAAAAGAAACGTTTGGGAACCCCTGTGTTATAACAAGAAAATGATCTTGTTTTGATGAGATAAGTTGAGCAATCAGGGTTTCTTGTTATAGAGATATATGCTGATTTTGTGTAATAACAGGAAGGTTTATTGATACATTTTCATGTAAAAACTGAATAAATAAGCAAACATATAATAACATGAAAAATATCTAAAACGTGAAATATGAAAAGCATCTTGTTATAACAAGAAAACTCTTCATGTTATAACTGAATATATATATAATATTTTTTGTCACAGTGGGGTCAATATGCTGCCATTTCTTCTAAAGTAAAGGTTGAACATTAAACCAAAGTGGAGCAGGTTCACTGTGTTTTAGTTTTAATGGCCTCAGTAGATGTTTCCTTCACCAGGTTTGTGTTAAATGATGACCAGAAGAGGCTGTTTGAGAAGCTGTCATTATACTGTGACCGCTATGCAGAGCTCATCCCTGTGTCATTTGTGCTGGGTGAGTGGAGGCTGATTATTATAGATTTACATACATCTAAATCTCAATCTAAGACCATGTTCCTGGAAAACATCACAAGAAGTTGGCATCTAATTCTTCATTTGTTCTTTTATTGTTGTTGCCAGGTTTCTATGTCACCTTGGTTGTGTCCCGTTGGTGGGGCCAGTTTGAGAACTTTCCCTGGCCGGACCGCCTGGCAGCATTAGTGGGTGGTCACGTCCGTGGAGCTGACGAGGCCTCCAGGCTGACCCGGCGAACTCTGATGCGATACGCCAACCTCTCTGGTGTGCTCATCTACCGCTCTGTCAGCACTGCCGTCTACAAGAGGTTTCCCACCATGGAGCATCTGGTGCAGGCAGGTACGATGCTGCCAGTCTCATCACATAAGGCACAGTCACATCCACAGCTGCTGGCTCTGTTTGTGCACTTTGTAAAAGTCCTGAAGAAACTGTGAAATAGTAGTTTTGGACCAGCAAGTTCAGACTCAACAAACATGTTAAATTAGTGGTTGCTGACCTGGGGTCACCAAAGCTTCACAGGGGGTCGCAAGGCCTTCTTGATTTCAGGGGGGTAAGAAAACTAATATTCAAAGTAGGCCTTTATCTCGGCATTTCATTCATTTCTGTGAAAAAAACTGAATTAAATTGTTATTTTTAAGGTTTAGATTATCTGTCCAGGAAACAATGAATTTATCAAAAAGGAGGCCTATTATGTTTTATTGTTAAAAATAAATAATAAATACATAATACAGACAGAGAATTGTATAAAAAGTACCCTATAAAATCAGGAAAACTCAATATTCACAGGAAATAATCCACTCAAAATTCATAGCTTGTTTTACACAGACATACTGTGTTCACTATTTGGGTGAATTGTACAGTTATAATGATTATTGTCATTGTTATGTATTAAACATAACATGAAATATCCATAAAATATATCACTCAGTCAGGGGTTGTCAGTTTACTCACTGATTGTCTTTAATGCTTCCTCTCTTTGTATAATTTTGTCTGCTTTCACTTCTGTGTTTTTCTCTCAGGTTTGATGACATCGGAGGAGCTGAGGCACCTGGAGGACTTGCCTTCTCCCCACAACAAGTTCTGGGTTCCCTGCACGTGGTTCGTCAGCTTGGCTCTGAGGGCTCGAACCGAGGGTCGCATCAACAACGACGTGGCACTCACGGCCATTCTCACTGTAGGTCTTTGTGTATATATTTGTGAGCCTGTATATCTGCGCTTTCTGTGGCAATTTTAGCTCTAAAATGTTTGTTTTTTAATTGGTTTTGACTGTCCTGCTTTTCTTCTCTGTTCAGGAGTTGAATAGTTTACGGGCAAAGTGTATGAAGCTGTACGGTTATGACTGGATCAGCCTGCCTCTTGTCTATACTCAGGTTTTGTTGATACACTGTGCTGGAGCTGAAATATCATAGATGCTTTGGCAGTAGAACAAATAGATTTAATAGCTTCATTAAGTTATCAATGTGCAATGATTAGGTGTCAAATAAAATAAATTAAACTGCTGATGAGAGCTGACGTCTATAAATAATGTGATTTTGTGTGTTACACTAATGATCATGTACTTTAAATGATTAACTCAAAATCAGACATAGCATAATATAATAAATATAATAAAATCTTTTATCTCTCTATCTATGAGGTAATTGTGAAACACTTTCCAGACTTGACTAATCTTTGTTAATTAGGTGGTGACAGTGGCGGTCTACAGCTTCTTCCTGGCTTGTCTGATCGGTCGTCAGTTCTTGGATCCAGCTCAGGGTTACCCAGGTCACGATGTGGACTTTTTCCTGCCTGTTTTCACCCTGTTGCAGTTTTTCTTCTATGTTGGTTGGCTGAAGGTGAGGAACCACAGATTAAAGGTCCAGTGTGTAACATTTAGGAGGTTGCCTTCATGCGTTCATGTTTTTTTGCATGTTTCACAGCCACTGTAGTTTCTCCTTAGTGCTTGGAAGGGGAGGGTGAATCTGAAACTACACACTAGACATCACTTAATCCTTCACACTGGACCTTTAATTTCATGATCAAGTCGCACTGATGCTGCTCAAGAAATGTTATCAATTGGTCCATTTCTGAGCTGTAACGGTGGTGGTCTTTTCTGTTCATGGTCTCAGGTTGCTGAACAACTCATAAATCCTTTTGGTGAAGACGATGACGCACTTCTGAAGACGCAACTGGCTCGTTGATCGCAACCTTACAGGCTTCGGCAATTCAAAACCAAACTGATTTGGCACTCTTTTTCAGTCAACCGGCGCCAAGGAGGCTGCGCGGCCTTGTTTCTAAACCTTGCTGTGGCTTTCTGTTGGATCATCCCCAGGTTGCTCTTGTTGTCTGTGGATGAGATGTACGACAACCTGCCGCTGGTTGAGAGGGATATGTACTGGAATGAGTCTGAACCTCAGCCTCCCTACACTACTGCCAGCGCCGAACATCGCAAACCCTCCTTCATGGGCTCAGCTCTGGATATCAGGTTCAGTAATGTGTTTATTTTCTGGCAGACAATTGTTAAATATTCAATATGCTAACCGTCACATAACCATTTATCTAATCTAATTTAGTGTTCCCAAGGAGGAGATGGAGTTTCAGTCCAATCTGGAGCAGATCAAAGAACACGAGGAAGCCAACTACTCTACTCCGCTGCTGGGAGGCCTGGGTCGTCTTCTCGGTGTCCAATCCCCTAACTTTCCTCGCTCCTCCCGGGTCTCTCTGCTGCGCCGCCGCCCTGGAGCTCCACTAAGCCGCTTCCCTCTGTACCTGCACCAAGAGGCACCATCAACTCCGAATCAAGCCCGTCAGCCTTTGAATCATGAGCGAGATCCGGACTATGCTTTCTCCAACATGCCCTTGTATGAGAGACCAGGTTTCTACAGCTGCCCACAAACCCAATCGCAGCTAGCGTGCCCCCCTGCGGTGGCCCCCTGCGGGTGCGCCCGCCCTCGAGCCTGGCCCGGCGAAATCAGACACGACAGGTCGGACCGCAGCTTGTGTCTCCTCTCTTTGTTTTAACAGTGGGCTCGCAGTTGCTGCCTCCTGACACCCCAAACCACATCCCCCCACCGCCGTCCTCTGCATTCCCCTGGCTGTGTGAGGAAGGCGAGGTGCCAAGTGCCCCTACCTTCTCCTTTCCCGACCCTCCACCTGAACTCTGTCCAATATCTAAACTCAGACCCGGACAAGGCCTGCTGTCTCGCCGCCCTCTGCCTCCCCGCCTTACTCTAGACACCCTCCCCTCAGCTGAAGGTCAACCCGGACCCCTAAGCGCACTGGCGGCAGGAAGTGGAGGAGAAAGGGTGTTTTCGTTCACTCCTCCCTCTCGCACAGCGGCAGCAAATCCCAGTAATCCCAACAGCAGCTCTACCAGCATTAATGCAACAAGCACCAACAGCGCTGGCACGACGGGAAGCCTCTGCAACAGTTCAAGTCACAGTAATTGTAGTAACCATGGGAACTTCAATGCCAACATGAGGGCGAGCAACGGGGGCACCAACGGCGGGCTGAGCAATAACATGAACACAGTTTCCACTTCAGCGTCACCGCAGCAAGAAACTAATCAGCAACACTCACCCAATGATTCAGGAATCTCATTGGCTGAGGGGGACCTGCTTGGCGTTTTGGTGGACGGTGGCGTGAACAAGGCCGCAGGAGGGAGGGAGCAGGACTGAGAGGAGGAGGTTGTGACAGACTGTTTTTTTTTTTTGTATCACGTGGCATTTAAAATATTTCACACAAACAGGGACGGATCTACGTTACATCTGAAGGGTCACCTGGAGCCCGCCGCACAGCTGAAAAGTATTTGTTGCAAACACCGAGTTAATCTCTACTTCCTGATTAGCTCTTATAGAACAATTAACCTACTTGTAATGCTCAAAGCATCTTATGAGATTTAACCGTCAACATGTGAAGTAAAAATAAGAAACACTTTCCAGTTTCCAGTCAGCGACAGCAAGCCAAAATGTTTATATTCTAAACGAACTTAGTTCTCATCAGTGTACTCTTTATATCAGACATCAGTATCATGGTTCTTTTGTCATTTTGTCAGTTTTTTCAATAAAAAAACTAAACTTTAAATTATTTATTACTGTTTTATTTTATTATACAAGGATACTGTATATTAAATTCAACTTAAATTCACAACTACAATTGTTCATAAGTCATATTTATTATATAAAGCAACTGCAGAGGAAAAATGAGTGTGTCATTGATATTGTATTTAAATAAAGATTAATTGTTGTTGAATATATAATTTAATGTGAGATTCACCCATTTCAAATTAAATAATGAAAGTGACAATCATTATTTGAGTAGTTCAATTGTAATTAAAAGGTGCAAATTAACTCACTTTAATTGGACTGTCATTAAATTGTGGATTAATCTATTTACTAAATGAGTTTATCAATTCAGTAACACATAATTAGCTGCAGCTGTCATGAACAGGTACTAAAAAGATGGCTGGCCTCAAAACCTGTGTACAAATATATATAAAGCAGAATCAGAAGACTAATGTAGACTGTATGTGAGAGAAGTTGAATGCAACATCATGGTTAAAGAAATAAAGTAAATTATTTTAAATTATTTTGCAAATCCATTTAAAAAAGATTAATTTTAAAAGCATTTAAAGTTAGTGTAGATAATGTACTTCAGAAGCACTTTTTGTTATATTTATTTAATTTACATCCCAACTGCAATCAACAAATCAAATTCTCCGGGGGAAAAAGTAAGAAATTCATTCATTATCTTTGGCTGTCGCAGGCCTGTAATAAGCCTGCCTGTCTACTTACTGACCTGCATGCACTCTAATTACTTAAACATTTTAAATTTCAACTCACCATAAACTGTAGTGTTTTAGTCACCACGAACAGTTAAACAATCAGTAAGTATGAATACATAAATGACATGAATTACAGGTTAGAAGCAGATACAGTGGCTCAAAAAGAGCAACCAAACACTATTTTTGCAACCTAGAGTACACATTATTTCTTCTTTAACATTTCTCTGTGCTCATTGAAAATCAGATTTTAAGGACCAGGACCCATGAGCATGATCACAAATAGTGTGGAACTCAATCCTGATCCAATATGCAGCTTATGTAAGTGTGATGCAGAAACTTGAAGCCGCCAGTGCACTGAGACTTTACAGTGAAGTAGGAGACATCTTATATACAGCAGTAAAACTTGAGAATATAACCAAAATTTGGATATTCATATATTCTGGTATTTTGTAATGAGGTAGAAGAGTAAATGTCATTTTGAGGATTTTAATGTGGAAATTATAGATTTTTTGCAGAAAAAAAAAAACACACATCAGACACACGTTGTTGTTCCAAGCAGACTATCTGTATATGTTGTAATACATGTCTGGAGAGGATCTTTACACTGATGATTAAAACCTTTCATTCACATCCCACTGGGTTATATTACACCCATTTTCAAGTACAAAAAAAAGATAAAAGCATAAGTATGAAGCATCAATTTCATCACTTATGTATCACTTACATCCATAATATTTTACAAACTAGTAACAATTTTCCTAAAATGCTGATGCCTAAAACCTTAAACAAATTTAATATTGGAAAACAACATCAGGAAAAAACATGTTACTTTATTGAAAACAGAGTTTAAAACAAACAAAACAATAAACTTTATCCAGCAATGTATATCCGTATCAGTGTACAGATATTACTTGGATCCAATCGGAGGCGAGTGCCACACAGCAGAACTGGTGCGTTTAAAATAGCGAGGCTTGCTCTTGTAAAAGATATTTTCCAGTTTTGGTGGTTCAATTTTTCCAAAGAAAGAGTCCAAATCAGGAGGGTTGAAGTACTGCTTCATAATTATCTGCTGCAGATTGTGACCTGGAGGAAGAAATTAAATACAATATGTTTTCATTCAAGACTACACAACATGTGACTGAAATCATACTGACATACATTCACAATAAACCTTTTATATAGGAGCTATTTTAACATCAACAGTGAATTTCATGTCAAAATAGCTGTTGTGAAAAAGGTCTATTATGTATATGGGACTGACTGTTCAGGGAGGGTTTAGTGAACAGTCTGTGCATTATGAAACACGTCACTAAACACTACAGCAGTTCAGTTATATTGAAGGTTATCTTAAACGATCGAGTCTACCTTCTGCCCAGGACGGAATAGGTTTCCTCGGAGCGGACTCATCGTCAGTAGAGTCGTCACTGTTTTGGTCCATCCCGTAATCTTCTGCACTCTTCGGTATCAAAGGTTTGTTGCCGCCCTTTGGAGTGATAGCGTACGACTGTGGTGATTTCTGCAGAGGATAAAACGCACACAATATGAGACTTTACTCTGATGAGACCTGATTTCTATCATGTTTTAAGATAGAAATTTAATGAATACGTATGCAAAAATGCCTTTAAAATTTACCTCAATATCCACAGTCACATTGAGGCCACCACCTTTTCCTACAGGTGTGCTCATTACGGAGCGCTGCAAAGATCAAGAACAAAAAAGTAGTAAATATGTTTATCTTTGAGTTTTAAACCTCTCGTAGCACTATGTTGTTTTTCAGTGAGTGGGTTCCTATTACACACACAAAAACACATTTTCAGAGGGGATATGTTGAGACTCTTACCTCAATATCCACAGTCACATTCAGGCTAGCAGCAACCTTGTGAAAGAGAAAGGCAGAGAGGGACATTTAGCTCCAGAAAGTTAGCTTTGGTATTTTGTACTTAAGAGTCTATTCACCCAAATGTGAATGATCCACAGAAAACACTAACACCACGTTTATAGGGAACATTTAACAGAGTTCAAAAGAAAAAGTCTGAATAATAAAACTAAATAGGAAAACACCTAAAACTATCTGCATGGTTAGATTAAGTGAGAAAACATTTTAAACCTGTGCAGGTGGACCTAAACTAAATACCATTTCCACCGGCTGGTTTACCTGTTTAGCAGCTTCTCTCTCTTTTGCAGCTTTCTCCTCTGCAGCCAACCTCTGCTGCTCCTCCTGGTGGGAGAAAAAGCATATGAAGAACCAGGCGGCTGAGCAACACTTTGGATTGACCAATAAAAAAACATTAAAGTACATTTAGGTTTAGGTGAGCTTCCTATACAATATGATCCAGTTTCACTAAAAATCAGTGAATAACATTGTGTGCTTTTGTACAGTAATCAGTGAGGCCCGGCGCCCTGAAACACTCTGCTTGGGCGGTGCTGATGAGACATTCGAGTGTCTGCAGTCTTTTGACAGCTAGTCAGTTACAATGGATTTTAATGGTGGCATGAAGTTAATAATTTTGGGTACGTTATAATTTCTTCTAGTAGAACTGCTGGTCGCTGCCAACACAATGTTTGTATGCTTCTTCTTACCAGTTTTCTTTTTTCCTCAAGTGCCTTTCTCCTCTCCTCCAGTTCTCTCCTCTCTTTCTCCCTCGCTGCTCTCTCCACTTCCCTTTGCAGAGCGAGAGCTTTTTCTTTTTCCACTCGCTCCCTGAAAAACAGACAAACATCAAGTCCATGAAGCAAACTCTGGAGTAAATAAACTTTCTTCTTACCGTCTTCACCAGTGCAAGTTTCAATTTAATATATACCTTCACCAAGCTCACAAGATAATTAGACTTCGTTTATAAAGGTAGTCATTACTGACCTTTCAGCAGCAGCTAGTCGTTCTCTCTCCAGCTCTCTTTCCCTCTCACGCTCCTGCTCTCTCTTCAGCTCCAGCGCTCTGCGAGCTTCAGCCACCTTACGAGCTCGCTGTTCCTCTTCCTCCACCTTCTTCTTGGCCAGTAACTCCTGCTGCCGCTTCTCTTCCTCCTTAAGGTAAAAAAAAAAAACAAAAAAAAAAAAAACACACAACCGTGAACAGTGTCCACTAAATCAAGCACAGCAACAAATAACTAAAAAAAAAAAAAAGACTAAATAATAAAAAGAGCTTCGTCTCACTGCTTGCTGAATCTTCTTCCTCTGATCCAGCTCCTCTTGGCGTTTAATGGCCCCCTTCTTCTTCGCCTTCTCGTCTGCCACGCGCTGCACGAAGAGGCACAATATCAAAGGTTAGACAAAAAGGTTTGATCCGTTTTTAGGTGAACACAGATTCAGAATCAATGTGCTGAATACCTTGTCATTTTTCTCATCAATCTGAGCCATTTTCTGCTCAATCTTCTGTTTCTTTTCTTTCTCCCTCTGCTCTTCTTTTACTTTGGCCTCAAACACTCTTCTTAGCCTCTCATCCCTCTTCCTAGAACACAGAATTTAAAAGTTAAATCAAGAAAGTACAAAACTGTCCAGTCAGAGTGTGTTAAGAGGCTGAGTGTTAACCTTTTAAGTTCGTCTTGTTTCTTTTTCTTCTCCTCCTCCATTTTCTTCATTCTTTCCTCCTCTTGCTCTTGCTTCTTTTTAAGTGCCTCCAGTTTGTAACGCTCTTTTGTCTGAAAAAAAGAGAAAACAGGGATTTGGGATACGCATGTTGTCAGAAATCAGCTAATTCTAATGCATTACAATAGGTGGAAAATGTTAAAAGCATCCAGAACTAGCAGGTGGAGTTCATTCACGTGGAAACAGATCAGCAGATCCTTGGAGCAGACTGATGAAGCAAAAATCCACCCTAACAGACTTTGTTACAGTCCTGCAGGGGTCCTGACCAGACCTGTTAATATAAGACCTGCGTTTTTGCGGGTTAGCTGGCGGGTACCCGACCCGATACATTCATTTCCATCATGTTTGTTCTCACACTGCTGAACTGCAGAGAGCTTCCTGTCCTTTGACCTGAGTTCATTAGTCTCCAAACTACTTTCAGCAGAGTGTAGAGAAAGACATTGCTAGAAGCCAAAAAACCTACTGTTAAAATAGCCTACACCTCGCAAAGATGAGTGAAAATAGATCTTGTTCCTCTTTAAGAAGCTACATCACCCAGCAAAACCTGTCTATGGGATCTAATGTAACAATAGTTAATCCAACAGACACGAAGCTGAGAATAGTAAATTATGGTCCAGTTAAGAGTAAAATAGACTGTATGCTTTTGGGTGTGGCGACCTTATGATTGACAAGTCCCTCTCAGTGAGTCCGTCCAACGCACCAAACTAAGATCCAACTTTCAAACTAGGCAGTGCTGATCAAACACGAAGTCTGTTACTGCGTTGTCTGTTTCTCATTTTAAATCATTTACCGTTTAACTGTAATATGAGATTGTGTGTAACCAGACAAGCTGCCATCATTTCCTGCTATGGTGAGTAGAAACTGTGCAGCCAATGAGAGCAGCTCAACTTTCACAACGTCACCTCTGCTGGCTCTGACAAACGGTCACGGCGACGACCATAATGACAAACTTAAGGCTTCGAACCCAACTGGTGACGTCTCGATAGGTTCACACTTATATAATATCAACAAGAGTAGCTGAATGCCATTTGATTACAAGAATCCAGCGAAACAGAGACCAGTTTTATTCACAACCAAGATAGTGACCTGGCTTCAGAAAAAGATGGATTTTTACTTCAATTTCTACTTTCAACAAACAGTGAGGTTACCAAAGCCATACCAGGTGGTTTGAAGGATTGTTAGATTAAAAGATCAAAAGGAGGAGCATGGGATGAGAGACACCATCAACTAACAAGTGCAGTAGCCCCTTTCGACAGCGGACCCTGCAAAATTGCCAGGCTCAATTATTGTGATATGGTTTTGGTGGTTTACGTGTCTGTCTCTCTGTGTATGAGTCTTTTCTACACAACATTTAACTTTTTGAGTGATTTATGCAGGAATGTTGCTGCTCCTGTTGTCAGTGAAGCCCAAATTTAACAGATCTTCAGACATCAAACTGTCAAGACCCGTAAATAAATGCCTGAACATTTACGTTCAAATGTGGGAAAGTGTGAAAGGAGCTTGTCTAAGGTACTGTATGTGGTAAGTAAGGAGACATTTGATCAAGTTGCACAATGGGATATTAGACGCCACCAAATGCCCACAAACAACATACAGTGCTTCAACATTACACTTACCACTATACCAACGCTCAACTGGGGAGGGGAGAAAAAAAAAAAACATTCAAATAAGAGGACCACAAAATCTGATAACTATCTGAGCCACAATACT